TTTCAAGATTGACTGACTGACTGATTGATTGATTGATCAAATAATAAAATAAAGGATAGATTGCTAAATCAGCTGACTGTCTGATTGATATGCAGCCGTTTGGATTGATAAATCTGGATAATTGATCGATTTACCAGATAATTAACTGATTCATTGCTTGATTGATGTTTGTACTGACTGTCGGACCCATTGATTGATTGATTGATTGATTGTTTGACTGATTGATTGATTGATGTGCTGATTGTCAGACCGATTGATTGATTGATTGATTGATTGTTTGACTGATTGATTGATTGATTGATTGTTTGACTGATTGATTGATTGATGTGCTTACTGTCAGATCGATCGAGTGACTGATTATTGCATTTGTTGTACAGTTCAAGTGGTTTAGCAGAAATATCAACATCAGTACCAGATACCATCACTTCCTGGGTTGCTAGTGCTTTTGCTATATCACCTCAAGCAGGTTTTGGTATTGGTTCACAGAAACCTAAGGTAAAAAAGACATCAATATCTACTAAAGACCTTATCGTTGTGTAAATCAGACCTTAGATCGACCTTTTCAGAATATCATTTACTATTAGTTATTTTTCCTTTACAGCTGCAAGTTTTCCAGCCATTTTTCGTCTCTCTTGACTTGCCTTACTCTGTGGTGCGCGGAGAGGAAGTCGCTATTAAGGCGTCGGTGTTTAACTATCTAGAGCTGCCGCAAGAGGTAATGATCACGTGATCGACGAATAAATTTGATGATGATGATGATGATGATGGCGATTTGTCTTGGATTTTTTTTATTACTTACATGGCGTCATTTTTTTATCATGTCAGGTAACTATTACCTTCAAAGCGTCAACCAACTTTGAAGCGATAAATGAGCTGGATAGCACTGGTAAATATGAACAGGAAGCCGTCGACATCAAGGAACAGCTCACTATTCCAGCTGGCGAAGGCAAGGCAGTTTCCTTTCCTATCAAACTCAAAACACTGGGACACGTGCCTATCATCGTRCAGGCCCAATCCTCTTCTGCTGCAGACGCAGTTAAGAGGACATTATTAGTCGAGGTAAGACTGGTAACGAAATTCTTTACACATGTGTTTGTTAGATATGAAGGCAATCTCGAGCCCAGGACAGCCATCTGCTGTCGCACACATGAATTCCGCTGGATGGCAAAAGTGCGGGCTCTGGATGAGRGATTGATATGAAGGATGATGGTGATTGTTAATTTTTGCCGTTAATCAATTAGAAATAAAGCTCGTACAATTYTGATAAGAAATTTGAAGTTTGAGCAATTTACGTTTTAGTTTTATCATCTCAGAACTGAAAGAGTTTTTCCTGAGCACTAGTCGCACAATGATTGTACTAGACAGTATAGTAACAACCAAGTG